AGATGGAGACCAAGGAGGAGAAACCCAAACTCATCCAAGGCAGAATCCGGATGGGACGAACAGCGAGGAGGTCCAAGAAGAAGAAAGGCTCAACCGAGGTGAGGACGACCATATCCCTTCGGCACCTACAACGGACTATGATAAAGTCCACTTTGAGCTAAGAGAAATGAAGTCAGGATTCCATCAAGCCACCAGTTCGGCCCTTGACATAGACATGGTAATTGAGGAGACAAGACGAACTCCGTTCACTTCGCGAATTGCAAACTTTCGAATAAGATATTCTCGCAAGGTTAACTTACCTACCTATGAAGGGAAAGTAGATTTGAAGAGTCATTTGGCAGCCTTCCAGATAGCGGTTGGTAGGATCGATCTAGAAGAACACGCAGAGGACGCGGGATACTGCAAACTGTTCTCCGAAAACCTGTCAGGACCAACATTAGAGAAGATTATGGTTTAGCTAATTATACAAAATTACATTTAGAGCAGGTTCATTCCTGAATCTAAGCAAAATTGAAACCTTTTGGCTTGGAAACAAAAAAATAAAATAAAACGAATTAGAAGCACTTGTGGCTTAGATTCAGATGTCTATGGTGTTAGACTTGAATAAAGAGAAGCTCATCAATGGCTTAAGAAAAACGGGAATAACCAGGATTTTTTTTTTTTTTTTTTTTTTAATGTGCAGAAAATTAAAAGAAGCACTTAGGCTTGATTCAGAGGTCTATGGTTAGACTTGAATAACAGGAGCATTTTTTGTCTCCTAATTCTATCTCCTCCTCTTCTTCTACCAATTCTGAGCCCACTGCTCAAAATCAAAATGAGTCGCAAACCTCTATTGTTTCCACAAGACCACTTGAATACCTTTTTACCGATGTTTGGACATCACCAATTCTTTCTATCGATAACCACAAATACTATCTTGTTTTTGTTGATCATTTCACCCGTTATACATGGCTTTATCCACTTAAACGCAAATCGGATGTCAAAGAAATTTTTCCAGCTTTTAAAGCTCTTGTTGAAAATCGTTTTCAAAATAAACTTGGAACATTGTTTTCGGATAACGGAGGGGAATTTGTTGCTCTACGCGGATTTCTTGCAACGCATAGTGTCTCACATCTCACATCTCCACCACATACGCCAGAACATAATGGGAAAGACTATGCGGAAACCTTTAGTCCGGTTATCAAATCGACGACGATTCGTCTCGTTCTTGAAGTAGCAGTTACAAAGTATTGGCCAATCAAGCAATTGGATGTCAACAATGCATTCTTACAAGGCGAGCTTACCGAAGAAGTCTATATGTCGCAACCACCGGGATTTGTTGATAAGGTTCGTCCTTCATATGTTTGTCGCTTGAGGAAGCCTATTTACGGACTGAAACAGGCTCCCAGGGCGTGGTATATGGCTCTTAAACAGTTTCTTCTCACAACCGGTTTCACGAATTCCTTAGCCGATACCTCGCTATTCATTCTCAGCACCGCCAACACAATCACATACGTCCTAGTGTATATGGATGATATCATTGTGACAGGTAACGATAATCGTGTGGTTTCCCAAGTCTTAGCATCTTTTGCAGAACGCTTCTCCATCAAAGACCCAACGGATCTCCATTACTTTCTTGGTATAGAAGTCACGCGTTCTGCTAAAGGGCTTCACTTGATGCAACGCAAGTATGTTACCGATTTGCTTAATCGCCACAACATGTTAGATGCCAAACCCGTAACGACACCGATGCAGTCTTCTCCGAAACTAACACTTTCGGATGGTGTTCCGCTTGAAAGTCCTGCCCCGTATCGCTCACTTGTTGGTAGCCTACAATATCTAGCTTTCACACGCCCGGATATCTCTTATGCGGTTAATCGTCTATCACAATTTGTTCACAAACCAAGTGATGCACATTGGCAGGCAGCCAAACGCATTCTGCGTTACTTGGCGGGTACGTTATCGCACGGTGTCTATCTTCAAGCTATGTCACCGATGATCCTTCACGCATACTCGGATGCGGATTGGGCTGGTGGCAATGATGACTATGTCTCCACTAATGGCTATTTGATATATCTTGGTCGAAATCCCATTTCATGGTCTTCCAAGAAACAGCGCGGCATTGCTCGCTCTTCCACCGAGGCTGAATATCGGGCTGTCGCCAACACTGCTTCCGAGGTACAATGGCTTTGTTCCTCCTTACTGAACTCAAAATACCTATTACTACAGCGCCGGTTATTTATTGTGATAATATTGGGGCGACGTATCTTTGTGCAAATCCGGTATTTCACTCTCGTATGAAGCATATTGCTCTCGATTATCACTTTGTTCGCAACCAGATTCAAGGTGGTATGCTTCGTGTTTCTCACGTTTCTACCGATGATCAACTGGCGGACACACTAACCAAACCTCTCCCAAGATCACGATTTCAAAAGGCATGTGTCAAGATTGGAGTTACACCGGTAGCTCCATCTTGAGGGGGCGTATAGGAGTATTATGTAAATAATGCTTAGTTAGAATACTAAATGTAATTTTGTATAATTAGCTAAACCCTAATCTTCTCTAGACTTTGTATAAATATGTGTAATCCTCATTCTCTCATTAATAAGATTAATACAAACCTTATAAGCATTGCTTTGGTTCAACATAATTATGTGATTATATTGGGGTTATATTGGGTTTGATTGGGGTTTTCTCTAGTGTCAACATAATTATTTGATTCCTCTTACTTCTAAACATTGCAGACGACTTCCATAAATCCGGAACAACCGTCCACTTCTCCTCACCTTGAAGGATTCATTGAACCTTCTCTCTACTATTATACCTCCAAAGCTTGAGTTGGTTGGATACAACGGTTGGTACTAGCTTCTCCATCTGGTTTACTACTTGGTTCAAATTGTTCCCTACAACTACTCAAAGTGGTTTAGTTTTGTTTAGTTACTTGGGCTTATTGAGTTTCAACTTTCACCACAAAACACTAGTCTTGAACTTTGTACCTTTTTTTTTGTTCCTTTTTCTTTCTCATGTTTTGAATTAAAAATCCTTTTAAAAAACATATTTTAAGGGGTTGAGGCTATTAATCAAACGAGTGACTAAGTAATATTTCTGGTCCAGTATCTGACAGCAGTAGTGATTGCAGTGTACGGTCAGATGCTGATCATTTGGTAGTTTCCACCATGTTTAATTTCTATCATACTTAAAATGATTAAATAATAAACTATACCGCCAAAACGTGATGGACAAGTTCTATATTTGGATATGATCGGATATTATTGGTTTGATGATACTACTCTAAATGTATTTGATTCTTATTTTATTTGGACGTTTGGTCTAGTATGAATAATAATATTTATGACAATAGAAGCAAATTTATTACAATAATAACCCTTCACCTAATTATTTATATAACCTATTTTTGAAGCCAGATTTTACTAGATCGTGCTATGAGTAACATTAAAAATGAGTATAAACATTACTCGATTTGCAAGAAACCCATTAGAATATCCGTTGGAGCTGAAGAAATATTCAATATGGAATATACGTTAGAACATCTTTGTAAGTCAAATATTTATCTCCGTACGAGTTTTGTGTTGGCAATTTATGTCTAGGACTAGTTGTCTACCACTAATTATGTCATTTTTGCGTGTCCCCTCATTATGAGACGTGGTGAATAGTGAGCATAATACCTGAAAGTTAACGAGAAACGTTATCAAACCGACCAAAATATACCAGAAACCAAAAGTTTCACTTTATTCCAAGTGATCAATATATACCAAAAACCAAAAGCACCCTGCTAACTAGGCCAGGACGTTCGGTTCTTCGGTTCCATTCGGTTTGGTTCTTTCGGTTTTCGGTTTTTTGGTTCCAACCCCTTCGGATCCATAAAAGAACCGAAAGAATTTTGGTTCGGTTCGGTTCGATTACTTGTCGATTCGGTTCGGTTCGATTACTTGTCGATTCGGTTCGGTTCGGATACTTAGAAAGAAAACCGATAAATAACCAAAGTCCAATGGATATCGATTCGGTTCTGTTTGGTTCCGGTTATTTTACCTAAAATACCACAAAAAAAAAACCGAAACACCCCAATATTTTAAACTTTTTTGACAAAATTGTAATATACCAAAATATATTATGCTAAAATATCAAAAAATTAAAAAAAATCTATTGAGTTAGAGGTAGGGACAAAATGTATTGAGCTTAGATGTAGATTTGTAGAGGTTGACCAAACATTTTCGGTTCCATTCCGCTACCATGGATATTGGTTCGGTTTGGTTATTTATTACTCATATCCAGTGGATAGTATGACTGAGATCCATTCGGATGTTTAGTGGTATCAATAACCGAACCAAAACCCTTTTCTCGGTTCAGTTCGATTCCGGTTTTTATGCCCATGCTAGTGCTAACTCTTAACTATACTTATTTCATTAATTTTCAATAATTCACTATTAATTATAAATCGAACCCCAACCTATTGTAAAAGATTAATTAACTATTGACTAATCACTAAATCAAAGGAGCTTCCACAACTCTTCTAGATTAGTTTAAAAATTCAAATTGATTTGCCATGTAGTATTTTCAACATATTAGAGTTTTTAGTCTGAAGAAGTTTTTTATTATAACTGATTTCGCCTCATTAGTTTATTATAAATTATAAAAACCTTAATAATAACCGACAAATCATTTAGTTCCTATTCTTATTTTTTTATTCATAAAATACCAATACTATGTTACTTCTGATCAAGGTTCTTGTTCCTTTGCATCTTCCGAAAAGTCGTTATAGTTTATGGTACGCTTAAACATTTTTACTTGCTATATATTATTAACACCGTTAATTCAACTACTAATTGAGAAGATATATGTAATAGTGGTGCGTTACACATTTCTTGTAGTTCATGGAAACATGGTCTTCCAAACATCTTATTATATTATTTTTTTGTGATTTAACTAATATAAAACAAAATCTAGCGGAGAACACAATGACATAGAACCTAATTATAAATAGACTCTCAAGCCTCACCTAATCTTGCACATTCTAATCGTTATTCTCACTAGAAAAAAAAACTAATTTCGAGTAGAACCAAATAAACAACTTCTTTCCTCCCACGGACAAGAATTAGGGTTTCAAGTTTTTCGTACCATCTCTATAAACAAATCAGCCTTACAACATGACAATTTCCATGGCCTTTTCTCACATCATCCAGCCTTCGCTGATGCAGTTGCAACCTCGAGTGTTCATCAATTTCCGAGGAGAGGAAATTCGCTATGGCTTCATCAGCCACCTTGTTGCTGCCTTTGAACTACACGGAATATATTTCTTCATTGACAAATATGAACAAAAGGGAAAAGACCTTACACACCTTTTCAAGAGGATCGAGGAGTCGAAGATCGCCCTAGCAATCTTTTCTGGAAAATATGCACAATCCAAATGGTGCTTGAACGAACTGGCAAAGATGAAGACACTAGCAGAAAAAAACAAATTAAAAGTTATTCCCATATTCTACAAGGTGAAGGTAGATGATGTGAGACATCAGAAGGGAGAATTTGGTCATAACTTTTGGAAGTTGGCAAGAACTTCAAGTGGTGAGGAGATCAAGCAGTGGAAGGAAGCTTTGGAGTTCGTTTCCTACAAGATGGGCTTGACACTATGTGAAAACAGGTATTCGATGTGACCTTCAACTCTTTTTATATTATAATCGTGCTATATTAGTATGTTAGTTATAGGATTATTCTCTTTTAATTTTAGTTAGATTTGTTAAGAACATAATTAATAGTGAGTATATTATAGATTTTTAAAACATTAAAATCTGAATTTATTTCTTTGATCTTGTCTAAGCGAGTCAATAACATTTCTTTATACATATTTAATTTATAAAACCACATTTATTTATTTTTATTTTTTTTGCTTCGTTTTGTACTTCAAAATTCTTATATAAGAAATCAGCACATATTTGACATACATATAAATAAACAAAATACATAAATATAACTAAGATATACCTTTACTTGAATCCGATCTTGTGTTGTTTAGGATCCGTGAACAATCATTTTCATCTGCATTCTTGATGCTATCAGGGTTGACAATTATTTAATTTTGTTTTACCAAGAATATATCTAAATTATATATAAATTTATATAGCTAGCCATGGTATTGGAGAAAACCATGCGTTTTAAAAAACTTAAATAGCAAGATTTAACTCGTATTAAAATTCGAGATAATAAACTAGATGTCTACGTATAAAAATAACACAGTACATGGAAATTAAAAATGACATATTACATCAAATAAAGGAAGTAATGTGTCCAAAATTCGTTTTCACTTGGATAAATAATGTTTTGTCAACTTTTAGGTATGGCATTTTATATTGACAAAAATGGTGGAAATTCATTGTTATTCAATCTGACATCGACGTACGTTTTCTATTGTCTTAGAATACAAATATATAGTCTCTGATAACTCACACAGTAGTACATAACAATCAAAACTGTGTGAAGGATAAGTCATGTTTTACATTGAAACAATACACAATTTCCTTTCAACAATATTCAATAATTTCAGTTTTTCTTAGAAAACAAATATTTTAGTTAGGAAAAGAGTTATTTACTTTCACCAAATGTTTAATTTTTACATGAAAAGTTTTCAGACGATTCATGGAACCTGATTTTAGTCACATAAATGTTCATGTCTTTAAAGATGAAAGGATTGAAGACGAAAGCAGTGAGAAAAATATACAAACTCTTGAAAGATTTTGTAAATACGTGCAAAAAAACTTTATAAAATTGTGGAGATCATGTTGATACAATGGTGATGTTGCATTGGTTAAACTTGAAATCCAATTAACAATCGAGAAATCAGAGAACTATTCTTGGTTTCTGTCTGAATCCCGTTTGGATTGCGATTCAAGCCAAAGAAACAACCAGGATTAACTCTTGAAAGCCACAAGCAATTAAAATTGCAAATATAAAGAAGAAGGGACTTACCGGCATTTCTTACGGTGAACATGACGAGCTCAAGAAAGAACATGCACCTAGAGCTAACGAACATCATCTATTTGGCTTTTCAATAAACCTCCATTTCTGAAAAAATATTACAACGGCTTTTTAGATTTTAAATAGATTAAAATTTCCCAAGAACATGGTACGCATAAACATTTAGACTTATTAAGTATTATATGAAATATTAAGATAGTTTATTATCTAAAAAATATAATTCTTATTCGTTATTGAGCAAGTGAATTATCATTTGAAATTCCAACATAACACAGAGAGTAATTTACAGTTCAATAAGATACGATTAAAACTTATCTTTTAAGATATTAAAATTCTTTTGGTATAATATATAGCAAGTAGAAATGTTTATGCGTACCATGTTTGTGACTGGCGAACAATTTTTATTCATGGCAGTTCCTTTCAACACCTCTACATTGATTGATTGCATTTATTTTCGTATATATATTGCTATGAACAAGAAGAATTTTATTTATCTTTTGAATCGCTTGTGATTATGTTTATTTTATATTCTCGATTATCATCAATAGATATAGGTTAAGTAGGCAAAAACATTGAATCAGTGTGCATAAGATTTTCGTTTTTTTTCTGATCAACTTTGTATTAAAAGTGGCTCCTAGCTATTGTCTAATTAATTGTTTCTTTTTTTTTGCATTCGATCCCTTATTTGTTTTTTTAGGTCAGAGGCGGATTTTGTCAAAGAAATCATTGAGGAGCTGGAGAGGGTACGGAGCAGAATCCCACTAGAAGAAAGGAAAGATCACATTCTCGGTATTTCTTCAAGAAAAAGAGGGCATCTTATGAGCGGCCGCTACGAAGTTCCCTACTGCGAATCGAGCAAAACCAGAAAAGTTTAATGAAGATGAATTCAGAAGGCGGATGACAGTGGTTGGAATGGAGATATGTTGACAAGTTTGATAATAGCTTGTGGGGGCTTGATGTCCCTAAACAAAGAACATCAAACAAAATTTGGAGATAAGTTTTCCATAAGTTTGGAAAGGAGTGGCATGGATTGGTAACCGAAATATCGAAAGACTCCTCCCATGATTCGGTACTGCTTGGTCTATGGGTTGTTCTAGTTAAGTGAGTCTTTTAGACCATTTCTTATGCAGTGCATCTCTACCTTTGGGCTTTAGAAGTATTGTCTCTTTACGTGTGATGAGCATTTTATAATTATACATATGTACGGCTGCTTATACGGGCATATTAATCTTTATAATATTTGTTAACTATACCCGATCTCGTCAATAAGTATAACGCGTTAGTGGTTAGGCGTTAATGGTTACTGGTTAGACTATCAGTTGCAAATTAAATAATCTTATATAATATGAGAAGGTTTTCTTCTAATTTTTCCTACTATTGCGACATTTGGCACTCTCTTTTGGTGACATGTGTCCTCATTCATTGCATCAATGTTTGCTTTAATTTATTTAAAATCTTTAGTTTTGAAAGTTTGTGCCTACAATTTAATTCCAAAAAATATATTTCTCTTATCCTATTCCTTGTTCAAAAAATCGGTCTCCGCGGCCGAGAAATCGCCGGAAAACCGCTCGGCGGCACCCAGCCGCCGCGATTTTAGTAAACTCGGCCAAAAAATCGGATCTGTAAAAAACTCACTTTTTTTTGTTAAATTTAAGTTGAAAATCGATTATTTATGATTGGATCTATAATCTTGAGTATAAATATACTGCAAAACCGTTCAAAAATTTGTTAAAAACGCAAAAAAAAAATCAGGGTAGCGTTTCAGGGTTGTGGCTGCGCAGCCAAAGGAAGAAGAAGAAGTGAAAATACCTATTTTACCCTCTATTAAAGTGAATAGATCAAAAAGTAGATGCAAAGTTTCGAACTCATGGCATGTGACCCGTTTAACAGGGCTTTAACCACTACACCACCGGCACTTTCAACAATTTATCTTCTGATACTATGTATATATACAATATTATTAGATATAAGACCTAAAACTAATCCCCGATTAATCCCCGTGTAATCTCCGATTAATTGATTAATCGCTAGGCCCACCTCCACCGCCCGACTAGCGCTTAGCGATTTTTAAAACATGGATCCTATTGGTACATTTGACATGTATTTAAATTGAAATTGTATCTAATTTATTTTACCAAAATTATTATCTACTTAAAATCACCACTTATCCTATTGGTACAATAGTACATTTTTTAAACTTCTCATAATATTAGTACATTTGGCATCTATTTTTAAATTTAATTGTTTTCCTCATTTTTCTATCTTACATAATATTTTAATATCTCCATAAAATACATTTCTAATCTTTTCTAATTTGTCTTTTTTTTTTTTCTTTCCAATTTCACTTTTTTTTTTGTTTTAATTTTTATAACACCAATTTATTCTTAAAATCACCACTTATCCTATTGGTACAATAGTACATTTTTTAAACTTCTCATAATATTAGTACACTTGGCATCTATTTTTAAATTTAATTGTTTTCCTCATTTTTCAATCTTACATAATATTTTAATATCTCCATAAAATACATTTCTAATATTTTCTAATTTGTCTTTTTTTTTTTCTTCTTTCCAATTTTACTTTTTTTTTTTTTTTTAATTTTTATAACACCAATTTATTCTCACACGTTACAACTCCAAGTTGGAGTATTTAGTTTTATTACACAATACATTTAATGTATTTATATAGTATAATATAATTTACAGGAATTATTAAATTTAATATGTCATCCCATATATTGTTTTATAATTGTCTCAGTAAATAAAATTCTAACTTATGTAACAATCAATGTAATTTTAATAAAGAAATATAGTAACATGCATTATATTAATGTATTGCTCCATGTGTTACGCCTTTTCTCAAAAAAATGTTTGCGAAGAGTTTTCTTCTCCAGTAACGCTTTTCATGTGGTTTCTAATACCGAAATATATTAGCGTATTTTTTTTTTGTTCTGGAATTAGTTACCCAAAGTAAAACCCACAAATGAACTTATTAAAACATATGTAACATCAAACAACTCTAAATTGATGCATTAGGCTAACAGATAACCACAATAACTCCAATTAATTCAAAACATTAAATCCAATTAATTCTTGTATATATTACCCACATGTGAAGCTAAAAAAACTCTTGTAGAGTTTTTGCTTTTTCCAGTCCGTTCTTTTATTTTTATTGACTTTTAGTTGCTTTCTCTTTATTTCAGGCTATCATCCACATAATAAAAATATCTACAAAAGTTTTCTCATTTGGTGTTCAAGTTAATTAGGTTTGTGATTTCATATGGTGTTCAAGTTAGCTTCATTAACACCATTAGTTCTACATAAAAGTATTCTATTTTTAAGTTCTATTTTTAATTGTTTCTCTATTTTTCAACTCACCAATAAGATTTATATACATACATTGAGAAAATTTATATCTATTATTCTGGTCAGTTAAAGTGTAATTATAAATTTAAGTATTTAGATAAATGGCAGTTCATTATATTTATTAAATTTTTTTACTCTTATGATATATATCTATTCATAAATTTGAAAACCATAAGTTTGTTAAAAGATTTATGATATAAATTGAAAAACCATTTATGTAATTATTCTCAACATCACTTATCAAAAAGTTAAGAGTTTGTTTTTTTTTTTTTTTTAATACGTAAAGTTGTTTCAAGATGATTTTGTTCTTGAATACGTAAAACTAATGGGACCATGAGTCAAAAAAAAAATCAAATAGTTTATGCCATTCTTTATTTCTTTTACATAATTACTCAACGTTTGAGAGAGATCGACGTTTGAGTTTCGTACATCTCGAGTAAATAGTTATCTGATTTTTGATATTG